GAAGCATCCACCAGAATTTAGCACCCTTAAATTCTGACACTGTTTTATTTAATGACTGCTACAGCAAAGGTACATTTTGTACTATAAATTGGAATCAAATGCACAATCACGCTACACAGAAAGGGATGACTAAGTCACATAAACAAATGGATAGCTTAACTTTCTGAAGGAGGATTTTGTTTGATTAAATTCCTTCAAATTATTTGACCTATTTTAAAAGCATTTCAAATCAACCCCCCACATGTACAGCTTTTAACATGTCTAACTTGAACCATACGTGCTATTCATATCCTTTTACCTATAAAGGGATCAAGTGCTGATGCTAGAATAACTTGTATCCCCCTTCCTCCCCTACTGAAGGCAAAATATCAAAGTCATTAAAGAGCATCCCACACAAAAAGGAGATATATGGAGATAAAACTATCAGCTTTTGAAATTCATTTCTGAAGTATACAGATACAAGAGCAAAATTCATTACTACTGAAATCAGTGGGAGTTTTGGCATTGACTTAATTTAAAGCCAACTCTGCCCTTACTTCTTGCACAGAGCATCAGGTCAGAAAGAAAAGGATGCCTGTGCAAGAAGACCAAGGTTTCCACATGGGAGTTGTCAGTACTCTGTGCTTGCGCTAAACTTCACTGAGAACTCTGAAATTTCATTTCCATCTTTCCTTTATAATCTTAAAGAAATACTTGAAGCCACGTGAAGGAACAAGTCTTTCAAAAATACATAGAGAAAGCACCAAATGAAGGCTTGGACCCACATCCACGAAGGTGTATTTCCTCTCTGGCCTAACAACAGATAAGCATCTGAAACCTTCAGTGCTCTCAGTTGTACTCAATCCTCATAATTACAACACTGGAGAGGAATTTATATAGCCAACATTTTTCAACTGACTACAAAGCTTTTTCTTAAGAGTAAGATTTAGGAGACAAATCAGCCCTGGTCTCTGCATAACAGAGCCTACCTTAAAGGAGGAGGCTGTTTTAAGGAGCCTACCTTAAAACAAAATACTTAATCTAGATTTTCCAGAAAAGTATTAAAGCAGCTAATCTGTTTCGCTATCCAGCAGAAAATCTGTATTTCCACTGGAGTAAGATGTACATGCTGTTTAGCATTTGAATCAGAATAGATTTTTTTTTTTTTAACCTGAAACATAAACCCAGGTTTCCAATCTTAATGGCTGTAAACAGCTCCAAACGAGCTGATGCAGTGCTGTCAGCCCGGATTTGCAAGACCTCTGCTCCATGCAACACTCAAAGAGCTGCAGTACCGAGCAGCCCAGGCTGCTTCACGCTGCCTTTCACAACTCCGAGGACAGCATTACTCTCCTTTCTCCTTGGCACTAGGCTGACTTGTAGAAGCAGAATCTAGAATTATTCCCGTAGGAGATGAACCCAGGGACACAGAGGTTAAGTAAAGAAATAGTTTCTTTCACCAGCTGAGAGCACAACGCTTCAAAACAGTACTTAGCTGTACGGATGGAAGTCGGAGGGATTGAATGCAGTTCAAGTGTGGTATTCTGCTAAGTGTCCCTGGATCTCGCTAGCAGCTGCGACAGGGTTTACGGTCAGGGCAGCGTCTTCCTGGGCCCTCCTTCACGGCAGCCTCTGGCTACTGAGTGGCACTCAGAAACATTCCCCTCATAAATCAATACTACAGTGTTTACTACAGGAAGTCCTTGATTCAATGGGCATCCGTGCACTTCCTTGCTTTGCCGTTTGGGCAGAAGGCTCATTCGCGAAGCTCTAAGTACTAGGAATAAACATTTACATTGCTTTTAACCTGAGGTCTCATGATAGAGGACATCAAATCTCACATCAATAAAAATCTACAAAATGGTCATTAAGGAAGCAGTCATATGACAGCTAGCTCTCCTCTGTGACTTTAAAAAGCCATCAGCTTGCTTGGCTTCAAAACACAGCAAAAGAGCCAGTCTCAGGTCCATCAAAACATGATTTAAAAAGTCAAGTGCTTCAAAAAAATCCCTACTGATTTTGTGTTTGCCAGCTTAATTAAAACCAAAACTTCTTTGTACCCCTAAAAGCAGTATGGGATAGGAATGGCACATGATTCTCAAGTAATCATCCATCAAGTGACTCAGAATTAGTGATTTCTGGGAACAATACATCAAGAAGCTATTTTTGTTTTATGAGTAGATATTAAACAGTTTTCTTTAACAAATATATAAGTGGTCTGTACTTAGCTCCCCAAAGACCTTTTTTCTCCTCCCCATGAGCAATTACTTCAAAACAGTTTTTATTACCTCACTTCTGTACAGGCTGAGAGAATCCAATATCTTCAACACTGCATAGGGTTTATCAACAAGAGGAATGACTTAAGACAGATGTATTTAAACATTTCAAATGAAGATTATTTTATTTGACTTTAAGACCCTAAAGAAGGGCTCCTTGCTGCAGCACTGCTGCTAGATGGACCTGTAAGAGGAAAGAACCAACTACTTTATGTAGCCATAGGCAGGAAAATCACCAGAATTAAGTATAGAGAGGAATGAAAGCATCTAGGGAGATCCTGAATGCCAAACTTTGGGAAGGGAAGGGACTTGTTGCTCTTCTCCCAGGCAGGGAAAGCCAGGTTCTGTCCTAGGCAACTAGAAGCTGGACAAGCAAGTCACAAAGATGAAGATAGGCTGGTCAGAGGGAATGCCCAGTCACCTGTCTCTAGTTGGCAACTTTTTAAATATGCTACTTCATCAGAAGAAAGCGAATACAACCCCACTGAAAACAGCTCCGTCCTCTCACGGACAACAAACATCAGGCAAGATGCAAGACGGAGGGAGAAAGTCTTTAAAGCCCTCTGTAAGAATTTACCACAGAGAGCTTTACTCCTTTTTCCCTTCACCTGCGGTTTGCCTGGAGATCAGAAGCGTGAGCCAGCTTGACGTGCAGCACACCAGCCTGCCTTGCCTCCCTGACGAGGGCACCGGGCTCCTCGGGGGCAGGACGGCCAGGAGCGGCTCCCCTCCGGCACCACGCGTGCCCTACCCGCGGGCTGCGCTGCTGGCAGCCACCAGCAGGACGAGCAGAGCCTCGCTCTTCAGGGAGCGCAACGCCGGGCTCCAAACTAACGCCAGGCGAGCTGCAGGCTCAGAAGCTGGCAGAAGCCAGCCGGCACGGCACGTCCTGCGCAGGGTTTGCGCCTCCCCGCACCGGGCACAGCGGCAGGACCCGACCCGCCGCTCCCACAGGACCGGGCACCGGGCACCGGCAGCCCCCAGCCCCCGACGCCCCCTCACCCGCGGACTCCCCGGTGTTGATCCAGTCGGGGTTGGCCAGGCTGGCGATGGCGAAGATGTCGGCGGCCAGGAAGAGGCATCCTGAGATGATGGTCAGTTTGTCCATCTCCGGCGGCTCCCGGCTCCGCCCGGCTCCCCCCCGCAGCGGGCCCGGGCCGGGGGCGCCTCACAGCCGCGGCTCCATGGGCCCCGCGCTCCCCGCGGCGGCGGCGCCACGAACGGGGCCCCCGGGCCGAGCCGGAAGCGAACCCGGCGGGCGGGGGGGAGCGGGCGGCTGCTCCGGAAGGGAACCCCCCCGCCTTCGGGCCGCGCCGGGCCGGGCGGGGCTTACCGGGGAGGCGGGGCTTTGCCTGGGGGCGGGGCCTGCCGCGGCCATACCGGGAGCGGCGATCGGAGAGGGGCGTGGCCTCGGGGAGGGGGCGTGGCGTGCCCCGGGCTGCTGCCTGAGGCGCGGCCCCCCCAAACCCCGAGGGGGGCCGTGTCCTGAGGCGCCCCAATTCCCCCCGACGCTCCCCAGTCTCCCCCACTTTGTTTTTCACTTTTCAGCCCGTCCTTTTTCCATCCCGAGCCGAAATTGCTGTCCCTGTACTGGGTTGGGAAAAAGAACTAATTAATCTTGTCCAGAACTCGCCTAAATACCTCAGTTTTTCATGACAAGCTTCTCTGTGGGTTAACCCATACCGGAGGGACAGGGAAATGCTTGGAGGCAATAAAGGATGCCCCAAATGTGGGGAGGCAGCCCAGCTTCGGGCACGGTGACTGCCTGGTTGGTATTCTGACTGGCATGGCAATGTGAAACACTGTCCATTTATCAGACAGCCCCCGCATCCACAAGTGCTTATAAAATACCTGATTGCAGTGATGTTTTCTGCCAGCAGCAAACACCCACCTGTTCGTACAGAGGAGTGGAACTGGACGTATACGAAAGTCTGAACTGACCCAGAAGCCAAGCAGGCGACTGTGCTGTTTGTTTTTGTCTCTAATGCAGATGGAACGCTGTACCAACAAAAAGGAGATGTTAGGAAAGTAACCTTAAAGTGTTCAACAGCAATCAGTGAGCCTTGCTATTTGGAGGACAATACTTGTATTTATTCTCCTAGCCTTGACAGATTTTCGTAAGGGTGGAGAACATAATAGGGCTTTTGATGAAAAACAGCTGAAATTGTTTCCTTCTAACAGGGAACAATTGGTGTGTGGCAGAAGAGGGAGAACTGAGATTTCGTTTAGAATACTTTAAAATCATATTGCACTAACAATGGGAATCCAGCAGTCTTGAAAAGAAGTTATTTCCAAGAATCATCTGTAACTATCCTTTAGTTAAACCAGCTTTAAATGGTGTTTAAATAATTTCAGTGCAAGCATTATGTAAAAGTCTGCCTCAAAATTAGTTTATCATTAAATAACTCAGCTTCACAGCAAAGGGAGTAAAGGAAGGAGGGGTAGAGAGGACAAAGAAAAGGCAGATTTATTTCACTGGCTTCTGACACACAAATCTGAAGTTAGAAATAGTGACAGAATACAGTCTTCATACCTTGCAGACTGTGTGGTCAGTTACTTAATTTTTCTCAGGTGTATTCAGAGGCAAACATATGCCAAAGGATGCTGTGTGAAGTACACAGATTCTCTGGGAAGTCTTGAGGCCCTGTGCAGGGTTGAGATAGTGACAGACAGGCAACCTAAGTTACCTTGAATAACTCTTGAGTAACTCCTCCAGACTGCAGCAGTCCCCTGGGTGCAGCCACATCCTTGGCTCATGCCACATGTCCCTGTGCCTGCGTCTCTGTCCAGCAGACTCCTGTTCACCCATTGCAGGGGGCTCGGAATCTGCCCGCCTCAGCATTCTGAGCAGTTAGTAGGCGTTGAGGTGGCCTCCTTGTCTGCCGGTAGACTTTTCCTCTACAGGTCATCATGGAGGCATAGTGCATTTCCAAGAGGCTCACCGAAGACATGCCTGCCCAGTGATTTTGACTGCATAGAAACATCTCTTTGCCTGGATTCAATAGAACATAAACAAACTTGGGCTACAGGTGGGGATGAAACTAAGGATGTTTCAATCTCTGTTTCTTTTTCCTCTTAATTTCCAACTCCTCAATCCTGCCTTGATACTGTTCTTCCAGTCCTAAATTTCAGTTGTCTGAATGTTCTGTCAGTCCATCTCCTTCACAGAGTCCCATTGCCCCACATTTTCATAGTATCAAGAGATATTCCTGCTCTTGAGGTTGAGTATTTGAAGTGGAATCATAGGCAAATGACAAAAGGAAATGAAAACTCTTCAGCAGAAGAGTGATGGATAAGATCCTGTGCTACTGCCTGCAGAAACTGCAGAATTTAAGGATGACCTTGAAGAAAATCAGTACAATGTTAGGGGAACTGTAATGTAAATTCTGTGACAGAACAATGACTGAATCCAGATAATTCCCATAGAGACTAAGTAGACTGATACTGTGTATGGTTAAAGGAAGAAAAGTCTGAAAGTGAAATCACAGCATTGTCTTTAAATGTTTTGTGGGCTTTGAATTAGTCACAGCTTTTATGGCTTTAAAACTATTATGCCCAGCAAGATAACTTACATGAAAATAAACTTAAAATCAGGATTCTGGCTTCATATTAGAGTTACCTGGATTTGTTACTAGCATTTTTTTTACCCAGTGGTGATCATTTGCAGACCTACAACTGTTCAAGAACTTTAATAGAATTTGCTGAAAAGTTGTGGATAGAAATTGATATAAAACAGCCCTGCATCCTAATATCATCTGTTTGCCTTCATTGGCCTGGGAGTTAAATACTCATCCTGGAAGCAGGAAATGAGCATTCAGTTCCCCCTTCTGGCTGAAGGAGACTGAAACTCAATTATTGAAGAGAGCAAGAACACCCTGGGAAAGGCTTAAATCCCTTCCATTAATACTGCACCACTTTACATAAATTCCTGAGCTGGTCAAAGAGTAGCAGGCCAGACATCTGACATCTCAGAATTTTGAGACTGTGTTCCAGTGTCAGTGTTCCTTTGCTTTTCTTAAGCAGCCATGAAAATTAAATACTTCATTCAAATCAGATGTAGTACTCTGCTCATCAACAACAACAATCCTGCATTTGTCACGGGGAAGGAAAAGAAAATTTGAACCCTTTCTGCTTCCTTCTCTGTTTTTCTGTTCATCAGCCAAAGTGACAAATCACACATTCACATTACTATACTTTTAATCCTAATTTCATATATTCGATGCTGTCAATTAGAGCCTGATCCAAAGATTTACAGAAGACACTGGAAAGGTGATGAAGGTTCCATATTTTACAAAAGAGAAAAATAGTGGGAATTTTCATTAAGTGATTTCAGACAGCTGGAGACAGACATCTCCAGCAGTTCAAGTTATTACTGTAAGAAGTAATATTTAAAGATTACTTAAAACAGAGTATTTTATAACTCATCTTTAACAGAAGATGGCTTATTTTAGGAATCTTAAGCATTTGTGTGTCCATCTTAACTTTTCCTTGTTATTGATGAGGAGAACAGGCTTGAGAGAACGTAGTTTATTACTCTATTATATTTCTTGGTGGAGATGCTAGGATAATGTTGTTTATATTGTATTACCCGTATTATGCATTTTAACGGATAGTGGATGCTCAAGAGTATTTTATTTTTGCAGGTGCTAAATATGGCAATTGCATTTGCTGCTCTCACGTTGGCAGTAGGGTATGAAACTTATGTGCGGGAAATTCAGAAATCAATCTCCTCCGTAAATATTGATATGAAAAATTCCATTTTTGGTAAGAAGTCAATCCTTTCTTCAAATTCTTAACAGCTGACAGCTCCTTTGCTCTGTGATTCTGTACCCTGTTCTCTACTTTCCCTGAATATATTAGCCTTTTTAATGAATATTTAAGTAAGAAAAGTATTAGATTTTTTTTGTTGTCAAAAACGTGTGACTTTTAAGAAATAAGTTTCTAAATAAAAAATACTTTCAAGATATTTATTTGCAGAGAGATAGTGTATGGAATAAACTGACTTTTTTGAGTGTTGTCATTATAGCTTTTTGTCAGCTACTCAGCAGGCAATGCTTCTAAGAGAAGCAGTTAAGGATGAGGGACTTAACTGTTTAGACAATCAAGAACGGGTGCAGCTTCTGCTAAATGTCTCCTTAAACATTTTATTGAATGATGATATCACAGTTTAAACTATTCAAATTTTCCCCTCACTTTTCAAAGGACAATCACCAGCACTGGGAAACATTACTCAGCACAGACAGAGTACAGAATTAAGGGCAAATATTAGGACGGGCAAACAAGGACTAGGTCTTATAATCATACAGAATGGACCATACCTCCAGATAATGTGCCTTGTTGAGAAAAGCTCTGCAGCTAAAGATGGAAAGCTGAAACCAGGTAAACCAACCAACCGAACAGTAATATTCAAATTTAACAGCATTAAAAATATTGCCATTCTGCATTTATGCTTCAGGCCTGTCTCTGATTTATCTAGACTTACATAGATCAAAAGAAACTCAATTTAAAAATACAGAGCAAAGAAACTAGCACAAACCGTATAAAGCTCAGTGCCAACACGTCACTGTAATGGAATACCTGTGATCTTAAAATAGCTGATAAAGACGACTATTTCATAATCAGATCAAGGTTTAAATCTTTATATTATTCTGCAGATAAAACAGATTTCCTATTCATCAGCAGGTTTGTTCAAAAATAGTTTGTCTATTACCGTTATATAGCAATGAAACTTTAATAATTTCTTTCTTTGTTCAGTGCATTGTTGTTCAAATAATTTCATTCTACAAGTAATGCAAAACTTCCTGAGGGTGTGAAATTAGTTTGCCTTATTGTTTGCTTTTTATTTCTCTTCTTTATAGAAATTGTTAGAAAGTGGTAATGGACTAATCTCTATGCTCTGACAATCCATAGAGGTGTTCCCCTTCCTAAATGTTTTAAACATGAGATGTGCCTTATGAGTACTAACAGACTATTACTGATTAAGGTTTCTTGTGAAACATCAGACACCTATATTAGGCTTGTAATTGAAAGCTCTGTAAATTTGACTGCTTCATATGGGTCCCTAGACCACTTACATTAGACTCATAAACTACAGTTTGGGGATGATAGTGTGCTATGTTACTACCAAATATTAAATAGTCTCTAACGTAGATAATGAAACTAAGACTTGATGGTAATGAACTAATTTAGGATTTACTGGCTGTCCAGTGAAAATGCTTATCTTCAAATTAGAACAATTTCCCCAGCATTGTCCTTTTAGTTCTGGCAGTTCTTTCTTCTCACATTTCGGTTACAGTTTTAAGCATTAGGATGAAAGATCCACATTACTGCTTATAGTTTATTAAAAGAGCTTGTGTGATTCTGTTGAATTTAACAGGGATAAGGTAGAAGTTAATGCAGGTAGCAAGAGGCCCTAGTGTCTTAAAATCCTACAACTAGACTCACCAAATACATATGCTAACATGTATGCTAAAAAGAAGAAATAGGGCTGCTAAGTATAGGTGCTTCCTCTGAATACCTTCATGCTGCAAGAGGTTATCCCAACACAACTCTTGAGTGGCCACTGAAGGATATTATTTAGCACAAAACTGAGAGGTGAACTGAAAAGCTAGGTAGTGTATCAGACTATAGATGCTGAAGCAGAGGCAAAACTATCTTATGTCTGCAATTCAGAAATACCTTTGATTTGCCACAGCAGTGTTATCAGCATAGTATGGGCAGAAAATCAGAATTCTGGTGTTTAATAGATTATTTCAGTAGTTTCTTGGAGAAGTTTTAAAATATATGGACATTTACAGCTATGTATTTTGAAACAAGTAACTCACATGATTTACCTTTCTGATTAAGTGAAGCTGAGAACTTACATACCACTGTTGGTAAAAAGTTTCCTGTTGCTTTTTTGGTATCTGATATCTTGGTATTTGTTCCAGAAATTCTTTTGTGCCCCAGTAGAACCAGTATCTTGCTAGAGTGGAGAGAAAGCGTGATGATAATGGAGCAGGAGTAGCTAATGGAAAAAGTAAATGAAAATATGGTTCAAATACAGACATCTGTAACCCAAAAATAGTTAAAGAAAAGAGAGCAGAGGGAGAGAAGCTCCTTGATCTACCTATTATGGTAGCAGACAGCTCTACTGCTTATTCAAATCCCCTATGTTGTTCTGTTGCAGTTCAATACATGTTTATCGATAACTGCTCCTCTTCACAACAGGTAATGTTACTGATCAGAGAATTCACCATGGTACCTTTGTCTTCCCTAATAAAACACCACAGAAATGCAAGGTAACACTGAATAGGCAATCTAAAGTATGGTACATTGACTCAGAAACAGCCCAAAGCATGTAACTCAACTGCAGCTTTCCTTAGCATTGTAAAAAAGTTCTTGACAGAGCTGTAAAGAACTTTTCTTTCATTAAAAAAAAGAAAGCAAAAGTAAAGTTGCATCCAGTTGAGGAGCTGCTAAACACGCTTTAAAAAAAAAAGTAAAAATATATCAATTAAGACTATTTTGTAATATGGACAAAAAAAAACCTTGAAAGAGTCTTTAAAACTGATTGCTGTCAATTTTCTTCCTTGGCAGGTGATGTTCTAATAAAGATTGGACATGCTGACGTTTTAGGATGTACTCTGCAAGAGCTTCGGAAAATCCTGCGCAATATTCCTGTAGGGACTACTCTACAAATCAGGGTTTACAGAAATTTTATTGAAGTACCTCAACACTGGCAGAGTGCAGTTGAATTAATACCTGAAGTAAAGCTTCCTGTGATGACAGAAGAGTAAGAAACAAGTGTTGTACATAACTAGAATTTCATACCTTGCTTATTATTCTAGCAAGAAAGAGTATTAGCGTTTTAATTTCAGGGGTCTGTAAAGATTTTTACTTTCTCTCATGGAGAATTGTAATTTGAAATATCAAATACCAAGAGAGATGTTTGCTTTTGTAGTTTCATTCAAGACAGGGTCAAAATACATATTATTTTAGACATGTCCCTTTCTCCATAGAAACCATAAAAATTCTGGTTGCCAATAATTCCCCTGAAGTCCACGAGGCTAGATTAATTTGTAATGGCCAAGGATGTAGATGCTTACAAGTAACCAATGATCTCAAGATGGAGGTCTTGCTAGAACCATGTTAAAAGCTAAACTGTTTCTTAATAACTCAAACTACTGACAGCAGCAAGTAACATTTTAAATTCATTCTGAGTGGAAAAGCACCTATCTTGGGAGAACCACTACATAAATACAGCAGCTTTTAAAACTGTATTGCTCGCAATTCTAAAGGTGGTTCATACAGCAAGTGTAATTAATCTAGATGGGATACATGGCAGTTACAAGTTTTCCTGAGGCACAAAGTTACAATAGAAACCTCAGAGATAAGGGAAGGAACGTAAGTATGAAAAACAGATAATTAGGCTGGAACAGCCTAACAATGAGACAGAGAGGAAGCTCATGCAGCAAAAGGGTTTCTAAAAGATTAAACCTGTAGGCTTATGTTTAAATAAATCGAAGCATTTACTATTCCGAAAGAGCAGGTAAAGGATAGCTTGCTTTTCTTTTGACCAAGTGACAGCTTAGCCACTAGAGTCCGAAAGAAACAATGTGCAAACGGTAATGGACAATAGTATTACTTTGGTATTAGAGCATCTACAGAACTAATGAATTTGTCTCTGGAACAAATATTTGCAAAAAGTAAGACTCCATGATTAGGCAAGGTAACTAAATGACTAAGGGAATTATTACATCTGAGTAATCCCACATTGTATCCTTTCAGCACAAGTGAAGACACTGAGGATGAAGACATTGGGACCAGTAGTGATGATGATACAGACTTGGAAACTTTTCGGTATACATCTTCCCAGTCATCCTGTTCTGAGTTTACTCATGAATTATCATCAATATACAAGAGTTGACATGTATCTGATACAATCCAGACACTTACAGAAGGGAGAAACAGTGGATGTGACATTGCTCTTCATAATTGTGTTGACGCACTGTGCAATTCTGAGTTTGATGCTAGTGGTGTTGGACCCCCTTCATATCGGGCTGTGGAAAACAGTGAGACCAGTTCCTCTTCTCACTCTTCTGTATAAGACACAACCTGTCTGAAGGAACTTGCCTTTGCTTTGGAATAAAACTTCAAAACTTTGACTTCTTCAGAAGTTGTATTTTTTTTTAATACATGCCTAGACTTCCAAAAACACAGAAGTCCTAGCATATTTAAAATTATATGATAGCTATACAAATCTGTTTTAGCAGTGCCCTCCCACCTCTCAAAGGTGTCTGTCAATACTAGTTGTGGACACAACACTACAAAACACTGCTACCTCTGCAACTCTATTCATCTGGAACTAGTAATCTCTAAGAAGCTATAATATAGTTATTTTTGAAAGTAAGTTTCTTCATTTATGCAACACAAGGGTGGTACAGGTACAAAGTTCTACAAGAGCTTTTCCTGTTCCTATACAAGAATACGTAGACAACCAGTAATGATTACAAGGTTCATCTGGATCAGGATCACAAGGATCATTTTTGACATACGTATTTTTTACATCAACTAAAAGTTACCTTATTTTCTCACAGCAGTTTTAGCTTCAACATATAGGGCCAGACTTGCCAGCATTTTAGATACCACTTTCAGTGGAAAAAAAAAAAAAAAAATCAACACAATGTATGAACTCAGCACTTTATTTGATGAGTGCAAGCCCACAATTACACCAGGTTAATTTCCTGAAAGAACTGAATTCATAAATAACAATGTAGTAATTTCTTTAGAACACAGGTGATTTATAGTTCAGGTCCATCATGAAACTGTATCCCAGCTTTGTTTTTACAACTCATCAAGAAAAGGAGTATTTCCCAAATCACCACTAGCTGCCATGGATTTCTTCCCACTGACAAACTTCTTTGCAGCCTGAAAACACATCAGAAAAATTGATGTAAGGATATATTCACTACAACAGAGTTTCTTGCCACTCACAGCCTCAACCTCAAGTCATTAAAAAAAATAAGTGACTCCATGACCTACTATAGTAGGTCATTGAGTCTACAATTTTCCTTTGGCTGTCTAAGCTTACTTGCTCGTAATTCAGCTCCTCATTAAAGGGGAATGAGGGAATGACAGCTAGCTATAAAAGGCATAAAATCTTTGGAAGTGGATATTCCCAGAATTCTACTTACACCACCACAAGATACAGTGGTTCTGTCCTTATTACTAAAGCTATTGCTAGTTACTACTGCAACACAAGGAAGTGATGACTAGGAAAATAAGTTTTGTCTTCGAACGTCTCTCTGATGGATTTTTGGTTGGAATTTGCTTCAAGTATAAACTACATTGCTATTCTGAATTACCTTGCTGCTGTATCAGCTTATCACTGAAAGCCTAGTTGTTTTGTTAAGTCCACCACGTATTCTAGGCTCAGGAATCCTAGAAGTCTTGACACAGAGCTGCCCATACTGAAACTCATAGCAAGTTTTCCTTTAATACTGGTTGGCAGTTTGGTACTCTCAGCTACACTGGCTTTATATAAATAAATATATAGTCTTTTAAATTTAATTAAAGGGCCTTCTGTTAATAAAGGCCTCAAAAGATAGACAACTGGTATATGTAAGCTAATTGCTTAAAAGAAAAGATGTGTGTTTTATAAACAAACACAAATGAACACCACTTTTGTATTAAAATCTTAGTGATTAAGAAACACCTGTAAATGCTGACACATACTTACATTCACAACATCAGCAGTGGATACTGAGTCAATTTTTTGAGCAACAACAGATGGTGATGTGTGTGTGCCAGAAACCAATGACTCGGAGCCAATTTCATTCAGCAAACCTTCTGCAGATTCCACTGACATCAAATAGGCAGCTTTCAGCTGATTTCTGCCAAACAAAGCATTAAGCAAGTGAGCACATAGGTTCTGTTATTACCACCCCTTGAAAGTGCAATGAGTTTTTAGCATTTTAACTTTTCAAGACTTTGATAGATTTTCCTAACCATAGAAACCTTCCATGCTTGAAAAAGGCACCACAAATCGTCAAAGCATGAAATTAACAGGGTAATGGAATACCACCTGCCTTGGAATGATCAGCCACCCCACACAATCAGGAGATCTCTAGCTCAAAATTTGTTTCTGTTTGAAGTAACTAATAAAAGTACTTCACCAATTAGACAAAACCTATTAAGTTAAAAAATCAGGTTTGAAATTGATGCCTGCATCTTATCAAGAACTGATGTGTGTAAAGCAATTTTCTGGTAAAGCAGCAGTGATTGTAAATGTTCCTTGTAGAATAGTTCAATTTTCTGGGAAAAGACACCAGATTCATACTGTGATTTTTTTTCCTGGTATAGACAGTCTTACTGCTACTCAAGAAAATCTTAATTAAAAAAAGGTTAGTGGCAGAAAATAGTTTATTTCAATAGAATAGGACTAGGTACCTTGCTATTTTTGACTGAATTGCAATATTCTACAAACATCACTGACCTTGAGAATTTTTTTGTCACTCATGTAAAACAAGTGTAAAACAGAATGTGTACCATTTAGCTACAAGTGACTATGGCACAACCAGTCATGTCTAATTTATGTATTCTGTAATCAAGATTTACATGGAGTCCTATGAGCACTTCACATACACAGCAGACAGCATTTTTGTTTTTCTACTTGAGTGAATCTGTACCATATTGTATTGTACTATTACAGCTTTAGAGGCTCAGTGCAGTTTAAACTCTGAGTAGCATTAAACACCACCTCACTAAATGTGCATGCCCTCTATAAATCAGGAACTCCAGAACTCTGCTATTATTACACCACTGACAGCAATTTTCTCCTTCTCAAAGGTTCCTAAGGGAAAAATATATTTAGAGCACTTGGATGTAATATCACTAATTCAGTGCTTTACATTTGCAAATCCTCATTACTGCTATTCTTAGAAGATTCAGAAGGGCGTAGTTGCTTAATATGACTGTTTCAGGAGTTACTGCAGTGTGACTGTACAGGGAATTACCTAAATAATGCATTTTAGAATTCCAATTTAAATGCCTTAGTACAAGGGAGTATGATTAAAACAACATCATCTGTTGATGCTTGCAAATTCCTTACACTGAAACAGTTAGTTGAAAATATTAACGTTTATTGAACAAGTTTTTATGAGGAAATACTGCTAGCAGAGAATCAGTGTAGCTTCAGGGGAAATAAAGTCTACTGATAGTGCTTCAATTTTAACACAGAAAAGGAAGCATTTCACAATAGAAATAGTTACAGCACTATACAAGCACTGCTGTACAGAATAGCCCAAGTGCTTGATAAGTGGCTGCACGTTAAGAAACCTCTCCATCACATTAGATGGTTCTTTACTCACTTTGCCTTTGTGACATCTTCATCTGTGACACCGCCTTGAGCAATTGCCTTCATCTGGTTCAAAGCAGCTTTAATGACCTGAGAAAAATTTAATCACATAAGAATTCTTCCAGCATTAAATTTAAACATGTTATTCCTATTATCTGACATTTAGAAAGACTTCAGGGAAAAGCAGCTGATAGTAGTAGGATTGTTAGCTCAGCCTCAATATTGAACAGCTTTAGAACAAAACTAAAAACACCCATAAATGCCAAAACGTGATTAAAAAAGAGCTGTGTGGATCTGAATTGCAACACCATGTTAATTTGTATGGCCTCACCATTTTTCAGAGTATTTAGTTCTGTCAGCTTAATGAGCTGGCATGCTCATCACAATCTACTTAGGTTTAAAAATTTCAAGTCCTACACTCAGCAATCCATGGTACTTTACTAGCTCTAGTTCATATTACATATTTGTACTTTTGAGAAAGTAAGTCTCATTGCCAGCCTACAGAAATGTTGTAACCGAACACGCAGCACTGTCATACAAGAAGGCAGATCAATTGTATTTAAGAAAAATTAGTCTCTGCCTCAAGCCAAAGCACTATTTTGTCAGTAAGGTTGTTAATACTTAAATTCTAATTGGCAACTCACCTGCCCAGCATCTTGAGCCTGGGATATGGTATAAAACCCGAATAGACCAGAATCAGAGTAATTAACATTAAATGCGGAAGCCTGAAAAACAAACATCATCTATTGTTTCAAGTAGCAGAACAACTCAGTATTAAGCATAGGAAAATTACTATAAGGATCCAAAATACTGGAATTCAGGAAGCTAGACTCCACCTGTGCAAAGGAAAGATCACATTGGAATGCCTTCTCTGAAATATTTCACCTTATGCAAGAATTAATAATAATAACTAATGAAGACTCTAGCTGGAAATAGTAACCTCTCAAAGGGTAGCATGCATTTTGCTTAAAACATGAGTGTAGTGACTTTCTGAACTTACATCAAATGGCTGAGTAGTTGCTTTAGCAACACTCTGGTACAGTTTGCTGGTAACATTGCTTCCCCTCTTGATAAGGGGTCCAGCACCCAAAACATGCTGAAGGACACTGAATGCATTTGCTTCCTCACTTCCAACAGCAGCTCCTTCTATTACAACAGCAGCATGGACAAGGCTATCACCATTCTGTTCTCTGATTTCTCCTAAAAATACAGTAACAGAATAAAAGATTATGCAGCATTCAGTTAAAAACTGCTACACATTCAGAGGTATGGAAAGGAAACACTTCTGCCCGGGGTTATTTTTGTGATGGAGAAGTCAGGTTGTGAAGTTATTGCATATGTAGTCAGAAAAGACAGAAAGAAGCTGTTAGTAAGCTGTAGGTCATCATGTAGCTTCCTAATCATTAAACCCCCTTACAACCCTAAGATGCTGTTCTTAATACTTATTAAAACAAACATATTCCTTTGAAAAAAGCATTTAATGAAATCCCCTGCATTCAAAAAAAAAAAAAGTCTTGCAAGCATAAAACCAAGTACATTACTACACCTAATTTGAGCCTGATCCTAAAAGTGTAAAATGATAAAACTGAGTCTCCAGATAACAAATATATAAAAGTACTGTACCCTCTGTTCATAAGAGTATTCTGTTTTTACAGAAACTGAAGTTATTTCATTCAAACCTCAAAACTTTATATTTTTCTATTTGTCTACTGAGTGATCCGATACCCCAACTAAAGACCAGTGAATAGCAGTAGGACAAGATACTGCTCTGAAAGAGCTAAGCCTTGCTTTGTCTCTTATGAAACACTTAACACAGTCTA